TTACCCCTCTTACTAGGGTACTGTTCCCTTTTTATAGGGAAGTGAAAGTGGGAGGTTGGTGTAGATTTCCGATGTGGGACTCTGTGCAAGTTGCCGCGGTGGTGACACGTGTCATGAGAATTAGGTTTAACAGTTTGTGAGCTTGGGCAGTCGGGAGTTTCGGCAGGTGCTTGGCACCTCGGAAGAGTGTCTTCCTTCGGCAAGAGAGAAGGCGTGTCTGCCTTGGTGCTAGTTGTTTTGAGATTGGATATGCTCGGTTGATTATGGTGTAAACAACTTTGATCAAATTGGATTGAATTGAAAATCAGCAATCTAATCTAACTTGGTGGATGCATATTTGTTGAGTTTTAATGATTTGGAATCTAGAAATACAAGTGATTATAGAATATTACGGTAGTACGGTCATATTATACATATTGTATACATGTTATAATATAAGTGAATATTTATTGATACTTTTCCTTAAAAGAGAGAAATATATCATGCTATCGTAGTATTTTATAATTCAATTTGGCGAATTGGATTGAATCTTAAAATCTCAAAACTATATGACAAATTTAGTAGGGCGAATCCAATCCAATCTAATTGCTTCATCCAATATAATGTGTGTTTGGAATAAATTTAATGATAACTATTTTATATATCAATGGCTATTTTCCGTTATTAAAATCGATTATCCAATCCAATCTCATAGATCCTAGCTTTGATCAAATTGGATTGAATTGACAATTAGGAATCTAATCTAACTTGGTGTATGCATATTTGCTGAATTTTAACGGTTTGAAATTCACGAATACCCGTTTCCCAAACCTCAAAGAAAAAGAATATAAATTTTATTTATAAAATAAAAAGACAATTTTAGAGAAGAATGTCAGACACAAAAGGAGGAAGGAAAGAACATGACAAGAGAGTTTACTAACAAAAAAATAAAAAGAACAGGACAACAAATTTTGGATTATTTTATTCACAGAAACTTAAAAAAAGAAAAAAATAATTGTTTGTTTCCTGCACCCTTCCACACCCAAACTTAATCACTCGTTTCTTTTCCGTGTGATTAAGGAGAAGGGAAAAGTCTTCGTTTTCCTTTTCCACGAAATTTCAATATCCATGCGCCTTCCTCTGCAAGATCCTTCTTTTGCTTTTACGAAATTCCACAATCAGAAACTTCCATTATTATATTATCACGCGCTTCTCCCGAATCAATACGCCATCTGGGTTTCTTGGGCGCCGAGGAAAATTAATCAGAAGATCATATAACGTCGAGAGTTCAAATATTTGGTCTTGAAGAATCTCAATTCTGAATTCACCATGCTTCACAGGAGCTTCAAGCCAGCCAAATGGTAATTTTTCTCCTTTTTTTTTCTTTTCTAAATTTATAAATATTATTAGCGGCCTGTTTGGTTTCCGAGAATCATAGGAGAAGAAAGAAAATTTGAAACAGAGTTTTGTACTTGTACAATGATTCCTGCGCGGTTGACTATGCTGCTGCGGAGTTTCAAGTTTTTGTTACCGCAAATTTGTGTTATGTATTTGAATTTGACTGTTTTATTGATGAATTTGGCGGGCTTGATTGGTGTCGATGCAGCAAAACGTCGTTAAAGCTTGCGGTTTCTCGGATAAAGCTATTGAAGAACAAGAAAGATGCACAAGTGAAGCAGATAAAGAGGGAATTGGCCCAATTACTTGAGACTGGTCAGGAACGAACTGCTAGAATTCGGGTTTGTCTTTGATCCTTCAACAACTCTGCTTTTGCAATCAAGTTTTGTTTTTTGTTTTATGTTCTATTATAACCAGAGATGTATAGTACGTACACACTATGCTTCTTCATGGAGTTGGTCCTATTTCATTTAATTTGGAGGACCTGCTCTATCATCAATATGCATTTTAGGAAGGCATTGATATGTTTTATTCTCTTAATATGTCGTCTGAAATGGTTTTAATGGGCAAGGAACCCATAGTTTTGCCAATTTCAACTGTGGTGCACCCATGAAAGGCCAAAGAGTAATATAGAAGAAACGAAACTTCTCGCCCTAGTTGTTTTTATTTGATGACTGATCTTAGTAGCAGCCTCTACTTGTTGAAATTTCCAGTGTGATAACATACACTTTTTTTTATGACTTTTACGTGCATCCTGTATCTCAGGTTGAACATGTCCTCAGGGAAGAGAAGACGAAGGCAGCATATGAACTTATTGAGATATATTGTGAACTTATTGCAGCGCGCTTGCCTATGATCGAGTCGCAAAAGTATGTAAATCCAATAGTTTTGTCATCTTTGTTCATGCATGTGCTCTTGTGTTTAAATTTAGCAATACTTTGTTACGCGTCAGTTAAGTGCTCTTTTTTCAGTGCTTGCTTTAATATTGCTCATTTTAAGATTCATAAAGCTACTGGTATTTCTGTGTTTCTGTAACTAAGGATTTGGAGTTTAGAATATTTTACTGTCTGGTTTTTTTATTTTATCATCATAGAATAAGTGATATTGTTATACTCCTTTGAATATTGTATTTTTCAATTCTTGCTTTAAAAGCACTTGGGTTGTGTTGATTTGTTTGATATGTTACAGAAACTGCCCCATTGATCTGAAGGAAGCAATTACTAGTGTAGTATTTGCATCTCCAAGATGTGCAGACATACCAGAACTCATGGATGTTCGCAAGCATTTCACTGCTAAATATGGAAAGGAGTTTATCTCTGGAGCTGTTGAATTGCGGCCAGATTGTGGCGTAAATCGCATGGTATGTTCATATACCTGTTCAATTTCCACGGATAGTTTTAACATGGAAACTAAATGGGTCCTATTGGAGATGGCTGGATGTATTCTGTCAAAAGTCAGCAGATTAGTTTTATTGATATTTTTTTTTTTAATGTTATTGTCTCAGTTAGTGGAGAAATTATCTGCCAAATCACCTGACGGCCCTACGAAGATGAAAATCTTGGCTGCAATTGCAGAGGAACATAACATCAAATGGGATCCTGAATCATTTGAAGAGAAAGAGTCCAAGCCTCCGGAGGACCTGCTGGTAAGATTGGTTCAGCTCTAGCCTGGTTCATTCATTGCTTGATATTGCATAGATAACATAAAACTATAGATTCATCTGGGTCGTATTACATTTCATTGTTTAAGGCAAAAAGGAATTTTGTGACATTTGCGCAGAATGGACCAAATACTTTTGGCTCGGCCAGTAAAATTCATGTGGAACCTCCGCGTGGCCCACCTCCACCTAATCATGATGTCAAGGAACCTTCTAATGTTCAGGTTCCGCCTCAAAGTTATGAGAATCATGATGTATCTATGAACTTTAATCAGCAGAGTGCAAGATCTTCACCTCGCTTCCGGGATTCTGCTTCTTCAAATGTTTCTTCCAACAAAGTAACCACATCTGACACATTTCATCCAGAAGTGAGATCTTCAGGTACATCAATAGTCACTGGAAGGTGGTGATTTATTAAATTTTAGTATTTGCTAGTGTTATTTTGAATTTCTCTTTTGTCTCATTCTTAATTGGATATTTACATACAGGAAATAGAACTGATGGGACGGAAAATAGGCATTCATTTCATGGGGACGGAAATGCTTCTTCAACGGGTAGGCAGAAGTGGAACATGAACTTTACGGATGCTGCCACTGCAGCGCAGGCAGCTGCTGAATCAGCAGAAATGGCAAGCATGGCTGCCAGAGCAGCCGCAGAACTTTCAAGGCAACATTCTTCAGAATCACGGGATAAATTTAGCCAGTCAGATTCTTTAACATCTAGTAGAACTTCCATTAACACTGATCCTTCACTGAATAGTCACCAAATGGCAGATCGATATCCTCAAAGGAAGTCATCTGAACCTGAGAAACGTGACTCTATAGGTGAAGTGAGTACAAAGAGACAGTCCAGCAACACTGGTGTGTATGCTAGTGAGATGCAAACTGGAAGGGAATCTGATAATGTTTCTTATTTTGGCGATATGGGATTGGAAGAGAAATCTAGCAGGCATTCCTCCCAATCTAATTCTATAGGTGAAGTGAGTACCAAGATACAGTCCAGCAACATTGATGTGTATGCTAGTGAGATGCAAACTGGAAGGGAATCTGATAATGTTTCTTATTTTGGCGATATGAGATCAGAAGAGAAATCTAGCTGGCGTTCCTCCCAATCTAATTCTATAGGTGAAGTGAGTACAAAGAGACAGTCCAGCAACATTGATGTGTATTTGAGTGAGATGCAAAAGGCAAAGAAACCTGATAATATTTCTTATTTTGGCGATATGAGATCTGAAGAGAAATCTAGTAGGCCTGCCTCCCAATCTAATTCAAGTTTTGGTAGTGATGATCAGGAGGATGTTTTGAGAGGGAATGATCACAATTCTTATTCGGGAGATATGAGGACTGGAGAACAATCTGCCAGGTCTCATTCAAGAAATTCAAGTAATGATCACGTAAATGTTTCCGCTGGCCTGGGTGAGGATTCTTTTGTTGGTGATGCTAACATCTATCAGAGCACAAAGCATATGAATTCTTATGGAAATGCTGCTTTGGTTTTTGATGACTCTGGTTCAGATGATGATAAATATAAATTTGATGTGGAGGACTTCAAGGGCCAAGAATCTAGTTTTTATTTTCCTTCTCCCGATAGAAACTCATTTTCTTCTTCAGCTCATTTAAATGATGGGAGCTCCAAACGTCAGACTGATGAAATACAATTTAAGTCCACTTCACAATTAAGTTCTTCATCGATGCAGCACTCCCCTCCTGTTTTTTCAGAAAACTTGACAGGTTCGGTGGCTTCTTCAGAACCAAATGACTTGTTGCCTGTTGCTTTTGATGCTTCAGATGGGCCAAGTTCAGACAGTGAAGAGGAGTTAGACAAGTCTAAGCTTTCCCAGAGCACAGTTTCTAAATTTTCTTCTGGACAGAGCCATAGTGCAAGACATAGGTCATTTGGATCTTCATCTTCGGAGGAGTTAAATTTGGGTTCTAATCAAAAGTCATGGTTACTGCCTTCATCTCTTAATTTGAACTCCGTTGATGTACAGCCTGAGAGAAGCCAAGGAGTTGAAAATAGCACTGCCTCGGAAGAAAAGTTTGATTATGATGAATTGCCTACTGGTGAGCCATCTCGAGGGCTAATGAAATCTGGATTAGACTCAAATGTTAAGGACGATTTTCAAACACTACAGTTGCCTCAAACTGTGAAAGATAGTGAGGTTTCAGAGGGGTGTAGTTGTGTAAGCGACACTGACAATGAGTTGAACTATGGGACTTTGACAGGTGGCCTGCGGAATAAGGGGTATAAGCATCCACCATTTACCAGGAAACCATCAGGAAACTCTTTGTTTGTCAAACAAGTCACTGAGGATACTAAGATTGAGCAACCTTCCCATTCTCCGAAAGTCGGGACTTCCATCATTTCTGGTACTTCTAGTCAAGAGCCAAATAATCTGCAAGGGAGCACAAAACTGATTAAGGAACAGAGCAGAAGAAACCGAGTCTCATATATTGCTCCCGATGATGATTCTTCAGAGGATGAACTGTCACATGGAATTGTTAGCAGTAGTAAAGACCCATTCAATAAAAAATTGGGATCTGAAGTAAAGGCAAGCTCAAAATCCACATTTGGTTTCTTTGATTCAGAGGATAGCGAAGGTGAGGAAGATCTTCATACAAAGATTTCCACAAGCAATGCTCGTCCAAGTGCTAAACTATCTAGAAGGACACAGCCCTCTTCTTCAAATTCTGTTAGAAGTTCTAGCTCAAAGACAGCAGTTGTTTCTGACATGTCAAGGACTTCAGAATATGGAAAAGTCTCTTCAAGGAGGTCCTATGCCACTGAAACTCTACCAAAGTCCTCATCCCATACCAAGAGCTCAGGGAGTCGGGAGTGGAATAGACCTGCAGAACAAGCAGCTCCTGAACCAATACCAGAATCCCAGAGGTATTCGCCTGTAGAGACTTCAAAGTCATACGGAAACTCCTCTTCAAGGAGTTCCTATGCCACTGAAACTGTACCAAAGCCCTTGTCCCAGACCAAGAGCTCAGAACGCCCAGGTAGTCAGGAGTGGCATAGACCAGCAGAAGACGCAGCTCCGAAACCAATTCCAGAATCCAAGAGGTCCTCACCCGTAGGGACTTCAAATTCATATGGAAACCCCTCTTCACAAAGTTCCTATGCCACAGAAACTGTACGAAAGCCCTTGTCCCAGACCAAGAGCTCAGAACGCCCAGGAAGTCAGGAGTGGCATAGACCAGCAGAGGAAGCAGCTCCTAAACTAATTCCAGATTCCAAGAGGTCCTCTCCTGTAGAGACTTCAAAGTCATATGGAAACACCTCTTCAAGGAGTTCCTATGCCACTGAAACTCTACCAAAGCCATCATCCCAAACCAAGAGCTCAGAACGCCCAGGAAGTCAGGAGTGGCATAGACCAGCAGAAGAAGCAGCTTCTAAACCAATTGTAGAATCCAAGAGGTCCTCACCCATGGAGACTTCAAAGTCATACGGAAACCCCTCCTATGCCACTGAAACTCTACAAATGCCCTTGTCCCAGACGAAGAGTTCAATGCGCCCAGGAAGTCAGGAGCGACATAGACCAGTAGAACAAGCAGCTTCTAAACCAATACCGGAATCCAAGAGGTCCTCTGCGCATGTAGAGACTTCAAAGTCATTTCCAAGGGAGCAATCATCCAGTCTTTCTCCAAAGATTGCAACAGCACGGAGCACTGAAACTCCAAAATCTTCAGGTTCTACATTGGAGAGTGCACCAAAGGAGAGAGCTTCTCATGTCCACCCAAAGCTTCCCGACTCCGATGCAATAATTGCCAAGTTTATGGCCCTCCGGCAGAGTCGACAATAGATATAGTTATATGCACATAGTAATATAGGATACATTTTTATGTGATTATCACAAAAGGTTTGCTATTCTTTGACATACTTGAATTTTTTATGATTGTCAAGTAAGGGTTGATGGTTATATGTAAATTTCGTGTCAAAATTGAGTCGTTTATTTTTTATTTTTTCATTTTTAGACCATTATATTGCAAATATGATGAGGTTACCATTTGTAAGAGTTATGTAATAAAACATTTTTCCGTTTCTCTTTGTTCTAAATTTTATGAGAATATCCGAGACTATGCTATATGGATCGTATCTGCCAATTACATTACTGCTTATATATCTCACCAAGATGGTTGGTTTGTTTTGGCCATGTAAAAATTGTGGCTAAAAAATATGGTTCAAATGGTTATATTGTAAAAGACTTTTTATTTTAAAAGGCATACGTTTTTCAACAACATTTTCATAGGAAGACAGTCATAGGGCCAAATGTAGACCCATGTTACAATTTAGCTCTTCAGAATATTAATTTTTTTTTTTAAATAATGTATGGCTAAATTTTTTCATCTCTAGCCAGGCATGGCTTTATTTTAGGGCCCACCATATTTTATTATTTTGAGAAAAATTATGGTACAACATTCATTCATTCTACTATTATGTTGTTGTGTGGTTTGTTTTCATTTATGGTGTTGTGTGGCTTGTTTTCATTTAGGCCATTGGAGGACAGCTAAGAGCATCTCCAACCGATGTGTCAAAAGTGCCACATAAACATTTAACAGCTAGAAATAACATCTCACATCACTCCAACCGATGTGTCAAAGCTGATATGGAATGAAGGCTAGAGGTTGAGATGTTATTTTTGACATCCCAAAAGTAAGATGTCAAATGAATATTTTATTAGTTTTTAAAGACAGCTAGTTGTTACTTTCATTTATTATTTTCTTTTTTTTTAAATTTTTTTCTTCTTTATCTTAAATGATTTGACTGTTACAATAATTATTTATTTGACATATCGGGTGGAGTGTAAAATTGTGTAAGTGTCAAATTGCCACATCAGTCATCAAATTTAAATTTGATGTTTGGTATTTAACATCTCCCTACAGATGTGTCAAAAGTGCCACATAAACATTTAATAGCTAGAAATAACATCTCACATCACTCCAACCGATGTGTCAAAGCTGATGTGGAATGAAGGCTAGAGGTTGAGATATTATTTTTGACATCCCAAAAGTAAGATGTCAAATGAATATTTTATTAGTTTTTAAAGAAAGCTGGTTGTTACTTTAATTTATTATTTTCTTTTTTTTAATTTTTTTTCTTCTTTATCTTAAATGATTTGATTGTTACAATAATTATTTATTTGACATATCGGGTGGAGTGTAAAATTGTGTAAGTGGGAGATGTCAAATACCAAATATCAAATTTAAATTTGATGACTGATGTGGTAATTTGACATCCTGCATAGTTTACACCCCACCCGATATGTCAAATAAAAATATTATTTTATTACATTAGTGTTGATTTATTTATTACTTTCTTAAATGAATGTATTTTTAAATTTTAGTATTAAGAGTAATTCATTAATCAAGTTAAAATACTTATAAATTAATTATAAAATGTAACATAAATATAATTAAACAAAAAAATCATCCATCTCCACGTTGGTTGATGAAAACAACATAAAAAAGATCAACATAAATTTTCAACGGTAAAAAATTCAATATTTTCAACGGTAAAAATTTCAACAATATAGTAGTGTCAAGTGACGATAACAAAGGAAAAGAATTAAAAATAAAAATAATAATGAAAGCATATAATGACAGCAGATGCATGACATAGTAACAAGAAGAAAAAAAAAATATAGATAAGTATTAAATGAATGATAAAGCCACAACCAGATGGGTAAAGAAATTATAAATTAATCAAAAGACGTCTTCAACACTTGACGGCAATTTTGACAACGGAGGCTTCACACGCCATTCCACGTAGACTATAGTTGTTTGGTTGAAGTAAATTTCAGCTATTATTTTTAGGGCAATGATTTCCCCACTCCTATTTTATCCACTTACACTCCTTTTTTAGTTATAAAAAAGGAGTGTAAGTGGATAAAATATGAGAAAAAGGAGTGGGGAAATCACCACTCTATTTTTATTCATTAAAAGTGCCACATAGGATTTGACATCTCCATACCAAACATCAAATTTAAATTTGATGGCTGATGTGGCAATTTTACACTCTATCCGATATGTCAAATAAATAATTATTGTAACAGTCAAATCATTAAAGATAAAGAAGAAAAAAAATAAAAAAGTAAAATTATATATCAAAGTCACAACCATTTGTCTTTAAAAATAATAAAATATTTATTTGACATCTTGCTTTTAGGATGTCAAAAATAACAGTTGAACCTCCAACATTCATTCCACATCAGCTTTGACAATTCGGTTGGAGTGATGTGATATGTTATTTAGCCATTTAGTCATTTTCACATGCCAAACTTATTTCATGGGCCCATCGAAGGTGCTACCTAACATGAGGAAGAACCATGTGGGTGTGATCACGAGATCAGTTCGTGCAACTAGAAATTAACAGACATATATATCCAAGGGTTAAAGACGCACTAATGTTAGCTAGCCGTTACTTTTTTTTAACGGTCAGAACCTTTTGGAAAGTGCATCAATTTTTTTAAAAAGCTTTTGTAACTTTTAAATTTCAATTACCCCATTTAGTAAATTTAGGTTGTAGCCAACAAAAAAAATTTCACTTTTGGAAAAAGCCAAAGCTTTTTCAAAAAAGACAGAAAAACCTCTCAACTTTTAAATCAAAGACATGCAAATGTAAAGGATTTCTTAGGAAATCCAAAAATAAATAAGGGCAATTTTGTTCATTTTTGCTTCTTTTACAAATTTTCTCTCTTCTTTGTGTTTTTCCAAAATCTCCCTTAAAATTTTATGAAAACAAGTTGTCAACTTCAATTTATATCGTAGTCTCTAACCATGAAAAAAAGTGACAAGACACCATTATAGTAGTGACGTGTCATAACTCCTAAATGAAAACAAGCCACACACGCAACACCTAAATGAAAACTAGCCACATAACCCCTAGATTAATACAAGCCACACAACACCTTAAATGAATACAAGCCACACACATAACTCCTAAATAAAAACTAGCCATCTCAAAATTTGACCTAATTTTATTTTTGGGGCCCACAGCTAAGGATGAGTTTGACACATTTTGAGGCTACAACCATGATTGGAGAAGGCCTCAAGCTTGTGAGGTCCCAACTGAGAAAAGCTAGGGTGAAAACTGCTTTACGTAACCAAGTAATAGTAATAAATAAATAAAAAGTTAAAACAAAAAGCTTGTGAGGCAAAACCGACTTACAAGAGCTTATAAAAAGGACAAAAGTAAAAATGTTACAAGCACAAAGGTGAGACAAAAGCCTCATAAGTTTAGTGTTGCTAGTATCTATTCAGAACTTCAATCCAGACACATTTTGGGTTTATCTCTGGATCAAAGTAATTTCCATATCAATTTGGAACCATGTGAAATTTATATTTGGTGGTTTCTTTTACTTTCATGAATCTCATGGTTGCCTCAAGTACTATTCTAAAATTGCTTTATGCAGGAGGATTTTCAGAATTATTCGGCAATGGAAAATAAAAGAGAGCCAGTGAGCTTGAAAAACCCAACTGTGTTGCAGAGCCAGGAGTTACATGAGGTAACTCTGCATATAGAGTCTGCCTAATTTGAATATACTTGTCCATATGCATGATATTAACAATTAAACTGCCTGTCCCAATTGAAATGGCAGTACATACTGAAGACTAGTGTGTACCCAAGAGAACCAAATCCTCTCAAGGAACTGAGAATTGCTACTGCAAACCACCCAATGTAAGTCTCTAGATTTCAAAAATGAAGGTGCAGCAAAACTGTGAAATTACAACATTTACACGTCTTCTTTAGAACCAACCATTCTTTCTTGTGCAGGGCTTTCATGGGGACTGCACCTGATGCAGGTCAGCTAATGACCTTTCTCTTGAAACTGGTGAACCCAAAAAAAACAATTGAAATTGGAGTTTTTACTGGCTACTCTCTTCTCCTCACAGCTCTTACAATTCCTGATGATGGCAAGGTTGGTAACTTGGTCCATATATCTATCCAATTCAAGTGATATAACAACAACCAAAAGTTATGCTTTATAGTTTATAATGCACGAATGCAGATTACAGCCATAGACATCAACCGAAAAACTTACGAAATAGGCTTACCAGTTATAAAAAAAGCCCGTGTGGAACACAAAATTGACTTCATTGAGTCCCAAGCTCTTCCTATTCTCGACAAACTCTTAGAAGATGTAAGCAGAGAAAAAATTGCTACTTTGTATTTGACTCTATTTGTTTTCTTTTCAACTTCAAGTATTCGAAGATTGGTGATGCTTTGTGCATGTGTTGTGCTGCAGCCAGAGAAGGAAGGGAGCTTCGACTTTGCTTTTGTTGACGCGGACAAGAACAACTATTGGAACTACCATCAAAGGCTAATGAAACTGATTAAGGTTGGTGGGATACTTATGTATGACAACACACTCTGGGGAGGAACAGTTGCTTGGCCTGAAGAGGATGTTCCAGAGGCCAAAAGGGAGTATAGGCTGTGCGCAATTGAGTTTAACAAATTGGTTTCTGCAGACACAAACGTTGAAATTTCCCAAGTTCCATTGGGTGATGGGATCACAATCTGCAGGCGCATATGCTGATCATCAAGTTGAGTCAGAAAGTCGATATGAATATCATAATCAGATTAGTTCTGTTAAGAAACTACTTTATAAACCTCAGTTGAGAATTGAAATGAAATAAAATCACCCAGTTCATAAAAATGACAATGTTGAGCAAGTGAAGTGATTGATCAAGAACTCAATATATTCAAAACTCAAGTCCCATTCATCACAGCCTTGCTGAGTTGAACACATCCAAAACTCAGGTCAAAAGATACTACAATCTACAATCACCAAATGCTTTCTCAAATATAAACCAACGCTGCCGCATCAATTGTTATATAGAAGTTACCAATTGGGTGTTAGTTGGATTGACCCGGACTTTTGGCATGCTTCTAAATGGTCCTGGGTTCAAGCCCTCGTGATATCAGTGTATGTGAGTTTTCCCTCCCTCCTCCTCTTCCAAATTTTGGCAAACAAAAAAGAGTTGTTATATAGAAGTGAAAGTTTTGGACTTTTAGGACTTTTTATAGCAATAAACGGTTGAGACAGGGTCATTTAGAGCATTTCCAGCAAGGGGCCCAAAGGGAGGGCTTTTTTGGGGGGGGGGGGGAAGGGAGATTAAACCCAAAATGGTGTTTTCAGCAACAAAATTTTGTCAGGGCAAGGAGTGGGGCCCAGCGAACTGGGCTGGCTTGAGGTGAGGGCTGGCCCGAGTACCAAAACTCGTTTTGGGCAAGGAGTGGGGCCCAATTTTTTCCCAATAAAAAAAAGAAAAAAAAAGAAACGTAGAGCAGGGTTTCCCTCAATGTAGAGGCCTTAGAAGTTCCCTAGGTACTCCTCAGATCACGAGTACTGATAGATATTGGGTCTACCCATCGGCCTGCTGTAATAGGGCACTAAATCAATCCCTAATCGATCGCTCGCCAGAAAATTTAAAAAAATACCCAAAAAATACTGATTTTTTTTTTCTTTCTATAAATACCAACCAATACTCTTCACTTTTAACACCAACTCCTCATACATTTTCTTCTCCTTCTACTATTATTCACTTTCTACTCAATATTTTTTTCACTTTGAAGTTGTATTTTTCTAGAAAAATTTATAGGTTCTTCTAGTGAAACCGGAGGGGCATGGAGCATGATGGTATTGACACGTAGGAACCCAAAAATCTTATCCGAAAATATTATCCAAATTAATTGTTTAAGTAAACAAAGTTGTGAAAAAAACAAAAAAATGAATAATATTTGCCATGATAAACCTAAACTGTTGGAAACACACTTTGCTAGGGGGCTAGGGCAGCTTATTTATGTGAATAGTAGCTGTCCTAGAACTCCCCTTGCCATGACAAGGGGCTAACCGGTGGAAATGCTCCTAGCATTACTTGTTCTTCTCTGAAAAAAGAGCGGCAACGGCAAGTCAAAGAATGTCGTACACTTTAGTACGGTCGTATAACAGCCAGCCTGCAGTTGAAAAAGAAAATTGAACGGCAATGGAAAGTACGAAAATTCTGTGGTTGGTGGGGTCGGAAAATTCTGTGGTTGGTGGGGTCGGAAAATTCCCAACTCATCAATCAAAAGCACATTTTGCTCATTTATGATTTGATGTGTTTCGGTTCACCGTCGCAGCAAATTCAAAGGCCAAGACTCAACCTTCCGTTTTCATCGGGTTCT